TTTCAAAAATCAAAAACCTTTGCAAAATGACCTCACTAAACACTTCTCTGCCTAGGACAGAACCCAAATTATGTTGATCTAGCTATTCCTCTCTCTCACACAAACACACATTATTATCTCTAACCCTTCTCTGCCTAGGACAGAACCCAATTAAATTGCAAAGGAACTCCATTTCTCTAACCCTTCTGACCTAATGCTCTAAAATAAAATTTTCCTCTAACCTAGCCAACCTACTTAACCTAGCTTGTTAATCCAACAAACCTAATTAACCTACCTATTTAACCTAGTTAGTTAATCTAGTTTACCTAAATAATTAATCCTAATTAAACTAGTTAACACAGCTAGTTCTCTGTCAAAGCCCTAAATAAATGTTTGCACTAATTAACCTAGATAATTAACCTAATTAAACTAGTTAACCTGACTAGTTCTCTGTCAAAGCCCTAACTAAATTTTTGCACTAACCTAGATAATTAACCTAATTAAACTAGTTAACCTAACTACTTCTTTGTCAAAGCCCTAACTAAATTTTTGCCCTAACCTAGATAATTAACCTAATTAAACTAGCTAACCTATGCATGAGAGAGAGAGAGAGGAGGGGTGGGGGCTTACAGAGGATGGCTCCGGTGGTGGCGAGGGAGGCAGGGGCGTCTCCGGTGATGGCCAGGGAGGCAGTTGTGGAGAGGAAGGAACCGGTGGCGTCGATGGCGGCTCCAGTGGTGTTAACGAGGCCGCGCAGCTCCGTGGCGTTGGGGGCGGCTCCGGTGGCGTCGACGGCGCACGGCTCTGGTGGCGTCGACGTCGGCAGGAGACAGCGGCGAAGTGGGGCGACGGCGAATCGGGGCGACGGCGGCGTGCGGGGTGGGTTGAGGGATTTGGGGGAGAAGTGGTGGCCGGGGGGAAACGGTTTTTTGGTTAAGTCAAACTTAGCGGTAGCGCGTTTGGTAAAACGCGCTATAGCTAAGATAGCTATAGCGGTTTTTACGAAACGCGCTGCTGCTATAGCTATGTAATTTTCTTCCATTTTTTAATTTCCTTTTCTGTTTCTATAGCAGGGGTCTAGGACACGCGCTGCAGCTACGTTAGCTATAGCGCCTCTTACGAACAAACGCTACTGCTATGCCTTCCTCCTTTTTTCGCTTTTTCATTTATTTTGCTTTACATTTTATTTTTTCCTTTCTCTTTTTTCTATTTCTTTCATTTTCATTTACTTTTCTATTTGTTTTTCATCTTATTTTATTTCCGTTAGTAGTAGCGCTCTTCTTAGGAAACACGCTGCTACTTATGCCCAAGCGCGCTACTGCTATGCGTAGCCTATCATTCTAGCAATGGAAATATCAGTAGTAGCACTTTTGCCACTACACGCGCTACTGCTAAGGTTGTATCTGCAACGCGGTTTTTTCTCAAATGCTACTGCTATCTAGCACTAGCGCCCTTTTTTGACCCGCGTTGTTGCTAAATTTCTGTGTATAAGGTTTTCCCTAGTAGTGATGCCTTGGATAAACCCGATGTATCTAACATGACGTTAACCAAATATGTTAGAGTACGATTTTTCCGTTCGGCAACCCTGTTTGACTGGGGTGAATAGGGAGGCGTCCTCTCATGAATAATACCATGTTCCACACAGAAAAAAATTAAACTCATTAGAAAAGTACTTTGCACCACGATCAGACCGGACTCATTTTATTTTCTTCTCAAGTTGGTTCTCAACTTCTGCTTTATAGATTTTAAAATAGTGTAGAGCCTCATCCTTTGTATTTAACATAACAGAATCTAGTAGAATCATCAATCAATGTCATGAAGTATTTTCTTTCCACCTTTAGTCAACACATCATTCATCTCACAAAGATCTGAATGTATGAGCTCTAGTGGTGCCAGGTGTCTCTCCTTTGCAGGCTTGTGAGGCTTACAGGGCTGCTTTGCTTGCACACACGCATGTCGCTTAGAGCCTTTGGCTAAGGTGAAACTCATGATTAAATCCATCTTAGCCAGCCGCGTCATATAACCTAAATTTATGTGACAAAGACGTGAATGGCAAACCTTTGATTCATTCACATTAGAATGAATTTAGTTCACGACTTTATTACAGAAATCCTCCAGGGAAAGGCGGAACAAACCACCACAATCATATCCTTTTCCAACAGATAGTCCATACCGAGATACGACTACTTAGTTGGACTCAAATACTAATTTAAACCCTTCTTTACCTAGAAGGGAGCCACTAACGAGATTCTTCTTGGTGGCGGGGACATGTTGCATGTTCTTTAGTTAGACGATCTTTTCCATAGTAAACTTCAGATCTACCATGCTAATACCATGAACATAAGCATGCAAGCCATTCCTCAACAGGACGGAACAATCTCGTGCGACCTGGTAAGAAGAAAACAAAGACACATCAGCACACACATGAATATTGGCCTCAGTGTCAACCCACCAATCGGTGGACTGACAAACTGAAAGTACGGTAAACAGATTACCATACCCAGATGCCCCATCATTGTTGCTCAGAGTGACATTGGCGCACTTGGAGTCATGTCCTGGCTTCTTATACTTGTTTGGGCACTTATTTGCCCAGTGTTCCTCCGAACCACAAGTAAAGCAGTCATCTCTCCTTTTATCTTTCTTCTTACCCTTCTTCTTAAAGGCAGTATTCTGTTGGACAGAGTTCTTTCCCTTAAACTCGTGGGAATTCTTCTGCACCACATTGGCGCTAGAAGAACCCTCTATGCCTTTCATGTGTTAGTCCTTTGTTCTCGAGTTCTGCTCAACACTTAGATGACCAATGAAACCCTCAACAGAGAATTCACGTCTCAAGTGCTTGAGAGAAGTAGCAAAGTTCCTCCATCTAGGAGGGAGTTTTGCAATAATGCAACCCGCCACAAACTTGTCTGGTAACTCACACTTCAGGAGCTCCAGCTCCTTAGCGATGCATTGTATCTCATGGGCTTGGTCCAGTACAGAACGATTATCAACCATTTTGTCATCATGGAACTGCTCCATACCATACAACCCGCTTCCAGCACCGGTTGCGCTGAACTTAGCTTCAAGCGCATCCCACATATTCTTGGCAACACGCATATGGAGATACGCGTCAACTAGCTTGTCTCCGATCACAGTAAGAACGACTCCCATAAAGATCGTGGTTACCTCCCTAAACGCATTCTCCTATTCAGGAGAAATCATTGCCGTGGAAGACACACCACCAACCCATAACACATTCATTATTGTGAGCCACAAGGTAATCCTCTCTAGCAATGCTTAAAATGCGTCCCGGTAAACTTTTCCGGTTTTAGAGTAGCGGCGAAGCCATGAGTCGAAAAATGCCTAAACTAAGGTTTTTGGATTGTTGGAATATTAGCACTTTTTCGACTAATCTAATCCACGAGTAAGCAGTAAACATGGCAAATACGGTATGCATCTCATACCGATACCTAAGCATGTGAGCACATACAGTACATAGAACCGAAACATCTTAAAACATATATGCGACTAACACATGTACAAGTGAACGAGGGATGAACAAATCATACCCTCCGGTTGGCCAGGCCAACGTGGCGGCGGCAACAGCAGCCTCAGCGTCATCCGTGGCCTTCTTCTTGGCCACGGCGTCTTCGACCATGGTGTCGATGCAGGGGAAGTAGTGGAAGCAGAGGCGGATGGAGACGGGGACGGATCGGGAGCAGTCGCGTCGAGACGCTCCCCGAAAACCTTATTGCCGTCCTCCCGGGCAGGATCTCGAACGACAGGGTTCCGGAGGCACCTGCTCTCCCGACCAATCGTGCACGCGATCGTCGGGATGGGATCGCCGGAAGCAGCACAGAGAGAGGAATAGTAGATGACGACTAGGGTTGTGCGAGAGGGAGTGAGTGAACTGAGTTAGGGTTCACTCCACTAATTAATTAACCATTCTTGCCTGGCAAAAATAAGCTTCAGCTCGGCTTATTCCCGCAACCCCCGCGCGCACGCGTCCTGACGAGGCGAGGCGTGGCGTGGCAAGGCAAGGCGGGCGGACGGTGAAGGAGGAGGAGCGCGCGTGTACAACTCCTATCCTCAAGCTCCCAATAGCAAGTGGCAGAGCAACCCTTATAAAAAGGTCTCACTCTTCTTACTGTAGCAGTATGATACTAAATTTCCCACCACTTCCCGTGCACATTCATGGGCCTTAGAGATTAATCAGGGATTATTTAGGCCTAAACCCATCCATAATCCATCATGTTACAGCGGTCTTAAGATGAGACTGGATTATCCTATTTGTAGCTAGCTAATCCCTGAGATGGAACTCCACAAAAAATGTACTCCATACCAAGCAATCTTCCTCAAAAGATCAACACTTGCCTCAGCGACCTTCTTAAGAAGATTCACACCAAAAATAAGGATTGGTACTCCAAACCAAGCAATTTTTCTGGGTTGCACACTTGTCCAAGCTTCACACCAAATTACATGTGATTGGGTGCGTGTATGAGAGATGTTTTTTCAATACCCTTTTTCCATACATGTTGTATCGTGTAGCATCGTGAATGACTTCAAGAGATTTGTTGATGATGTCGGGTATGTGTATGAGGGATGTTTTTTGCACCGACATGTTTGCTAGTAAAAAAAAGAGGGAGCATGGTTTATTTCCAAATCACATGTGATCATAATAGCGCCCCTCTGAAACTCGAAAGGACAGATGAATAAACGCAATTTATTTTTGCAAAAAAAAAACTGTCAGCAAAACAGATGGCAACGACGGAAAAGCAAGAGAGATCACGGATCCGTGATCCGGGTCCACGAAGTAATCGCGAGCAAGACAGACAGGCAGCGGCAACCACGGAACAAATCCGATCACGTTGCCCTGCGGCTTGGCCTAGACTAGACCCCACGACTCCCATCTCGACCACTCCCGTGGACTCCCTCGCGCCCTCCCTCCTCCTGTCGTGTCCTCCCACACCCCCGCGCGGTGGTCGCCGGAAGCAGCGCCCCACAGTCGGACAATCGTCAGATCCGCCGCCGCCGACGCCACGATGAACGACACCGATGTCTCCAAGCAGATCCAGCAGATGGTGCGGTTCATCCGCCAGGAGGCCGAGGAGAAGGCTGGCGAGATCTCCGTCTCCGCTGAGGAGGTTAGTTCTTCCCCGTTTACTCTCCATCTCGAAGGTTCTAGAATCTTCTCGATCCGCGCCTAATTGATTTGGAACGCTCGATCTGTTCATCGCGCCCTGTCATCTCGAAGCATCCAGCCTTACGGGCCGCTCGATTGTTTAAGCTTTAAGGTTTCAATCTGTGAGATCTGTGTCCAAGTGACGAAGCGCGCTAGCTCCTAGGTAGATCCAGAAGCGTCTAAATTTTGGTTCTATCGTTTGAGCTAATCTCAGTGCACGGAATAAAGCTAGAAGCCTGCAGATCGCGGTGTTTTGGGCCGTAGCATACGCTACTCTCCCCTCCCCTTGTCGGTTTGACTGAATTCAGGTACCTGCATGGCTGAACGATACTGTGTGATTTTGGAGGACGGGGAGCAAACTCGAGCTTGAACTGGACCAGGAACTTAAGTTTGTGTATGCATTGTTCCATTTGCTTCTGTGGTACTAGAAGCAAAACTGGAGCTTCATCTTGATGGGAAAAATGTTACGTGCTTAAAGCATGTTGCAAAAAGTCTTCGAATCAGCTGTTCAGGACCCTTCATTCCCTGCTACCTTGTGATCTTTAGTTCTGCTCACCCAAACCTCGGATCCACAACGCTTGTAGGCCGCACCATTAACCATTGTGAATCGTAGCACCATTTTATTCACGTAAGTAACTATCAAGGGAAATAGATATTCGAATACAGATGCTATAAATGCCAGTATTGTTTGGTTGCAGGATGAGTCGGTGTATACTGGATGTTGAGCAAAGCACTTGCCTGATGTTTGTTATGTATTATTATGCCCTTCTTTATTTGTTCTAGTCTCTTCATAGCTGGGTACAGAACGCATGCTTACGTAATTGTATGTATATGATCCCTGGGTTTTCAAGATCTATTATTGTGTTCCCATGTAAAATCATGCCATATGGAATACACCGTCGTTAAGCCTAGGAGACATGATTTGTCAGCATTCTGAGTTAACAGAGCTAGGATAATGCTTTGTCTGTGAAGCAACCGGCCATCCTTTTGTGACTAAGGTTATTCCCTTTCCTGAAGTTACTCACCTTGGGAAAGATATGTCTGTTTTCTGTCATATATTTTCCATGATTTCCGTCCCACTTTTCATGATTATTGGCCATGTGTGTTTTGGTTTTATCCTCTTTTCTTTGCCGGAAGTTGTTTACTCATCTTATAATTTGTTTCTTATAGGTTTGACATGTTTGTATAATTACGTGCAGGAATTCAACATTGAGAAGCTGCAACTTGTTGAAGCTGAGAAAAAGAAGATCAGGCAAGAATATGAGCGGAAAGAGAAGCAGGTTGATGTTCGGAAGAAAATGTGAGGCTTTAGTTCTCTGAATCACCTCTTTCTCCATGATCATTCTGGAATGCTATAATGCTATCAACTGCATTGCATCTTGAGAAATTTGAAAACATATTCCACACCATATTTATATCAGAATATGTTGTAGACAGGGCTGAGCGACATATATTACAACAAATTTATATCAATGATGTGAACCAACGCGGCACATGATAACTGTAAATTGCTTCACCCTCACAGCTTTATCGGTGATAACCATCGGTTAAACTTGAAATTCTCGACACTTAATGATATATACAACGGTATTATATATGAGCTCAAACAGTTTGTAATACTTACATAACTTGACTGCAGTAAACTTATCTGTTGACTGAAGATTTATCCTGAAGAGTGAAGACAAAGTTGTAAAACTGTGAACTGCTGCTTGCATTTGGTCTCAGGAATAAATAGGAGATATGCTGAAGTAGTATGAAATTTAAAGTAGAATATTCCATATGTTAAAAACTTAAAAAGCAAGTATGAAAAGAAGATGACAAGGTAAAATATAGAGCAGCACAGGAAGATTTAGAAATTTAATTCTAGAACAATGTAACCTTAGTATCATGTTACATATAATTAAAGTGGAGTGCTGATTGTTAAGTATGAGATGTTTTCTTTCTGTGGTCGTAGATGAAACATTAGTTAAAGTCCACTGTCACAAGCATCTGCACTGATATTTCTGTGGTTATCCCTACATTACCTGATGAAGCATTGTTCTTTTGTCAGTGAGTACTCTATGCAGCTGAATGCTTCTCGCATCAAAGTGCTTCAGGCCCAGGATGACCTGGTTAATAAAATGAAAGAGGATGCAATGAAGGAACTCCTGAATATCAGCAGCAACCACCATGAATACAAGAATCTGTTAAAAGAACTCGTTGTTCAGGTTTGTTTGAGCGTACCAAACACAAACCTTTTCCTCATCTCTAACTATTGTTGGCTAACTCATATAATAACGTTTCTTTTTTTACCGGATAATATACAGGGCCTGCTTCGGTTGAAAGAGCCAGCTGTACTGCTCCGCTGCCGCAAAGAAGATCACCATAATGTGGAATCTGTACTGCATTCAGCAAAGAATGAGTATGCATCAAAAGCAGATGTCCATGAGCCCGAGATACTAGTTGACCACAGTGTCTACCTGCCACCTTCTCCGAGCCATGGCGATGAGCACGGCCAGATTTGGTAATGCATTAGAAATTATTTCTTGGGGTGTTACTTTATTGGTTCCTTACCGTAGATTTATTGGTTCCTTACAGTATCTAATTGTGTGCTTCTAGATTTGTCTTTATCTGTATTCACATAAAATCTGTATTGCAACAGACATTTGAAATCCGTAGTCATTTAATAGTTTCATGCTAGTTATTGACCTCAGTCCTTGTCATTATTGTGCTGTTTATGCAGCCATGGAGGTGTTGTGCTGGCTTCTCGAGATGGAAAGATTGTGTTTGAGAATACAGTTGATGCAAGGCTTGAAGTTGTTTTCCGCAAGAAATTGCCAGAGGTGCGTTCATTCAGCTCATCTTTTAATATATTTTGTTTTGCCACCCCCTCATTGTGCACAATTATAAAGAAAACGGTTCTAATGTGATTCCGTTCTAACGTTCTGCATGTCTTGCCAGATCTCATTTAGTGCTAGCATGAACCTCATAGAAGCAGTATTACAAATGGTTTATGATTAGTTGATTACTGAATATGCCATTTCAGCGTGCTTGTCACAATTTTCTGGATAAATCAACAATGTTCGTAAATACTGAAGTGTTCAAGTATGACATCATCATTTAGTTTGTTGTAGGAATTGTCCATTATACTCCCCGACTTGTCACTGTTTTATTTGATAAGCCACCCCTGATGAGAAGAAATTACATGCTATACCCCCGCTTTGCTAAACCAGTTCCCTTCAGGGTTATCTGGAAAAACATAATACTCTGGAGGAATACTCTAGCCTTTTTGCTTTGCTGTAACAAACAGTGATGATTCTTTCGTAACGGTGTATATCCCTCCCCCCCACCCCACCCAACCCCTGTACAGGGCATGCAACATCATACCCTATTTTACGGAAAAACGATTGATCATTGGCATTAAAATTATCTTAATATCTCAGTCTATTTTACATACAAAACAGTTGATCCTCAACATAAAATATATTTTAATATCGTGTTTCCTTGCAGATCCGGAAGCTTCTTGTTGCGGCATAATGCGCACTTGTATTTTGGTGATGGTACAGCTGTTTCTATGTAAAATGGCTGCTGGTTTGACCCCCAGCAGGTGCAACGAACTCCGCCCGGTTTTGCGAACATTGATTGTTTAAAGTATTCCATCCTCTTATGTAAACACTACCTATTTGTTCATTATCGTCGCCGAGCACAAACTATTTGCACGAACTTTGCTCTGAGGAATAATAAATAAAGCACCGTCGGATTGTGTTTATGAACTGCGTACTACAAAAACCCGTCCTCAGTTTGGATTGCAGGATGCAACTCCAAAAACCCGTCCTCAGTTTGGATTGCAGGATGCAACTCGCCTGCATGAAGAAGGAATCGCTATACCCATATGGTTCTTATCAGACTTTTTGAGAACGTGTGTCAAGTGTTAATGTGTCTGTTTTATTTGACCACTGCTGGACAATGCCCACCTCAATTGCTGCAGTTGCTAAGATCGTGCTGAATTGCAGGGGAGAATGGTGCTTTTATCATCCTATGTTTTTTACTTTTTAGTGGTTACGTACTTACGTTGTCCTCTCTGCTAAGCTAACTAAGCCAATCTAAAATGGCCCAGTCTACGACTTTGCTTGTAGCGGGAACGTCTACAAAATAGCTCAATTATTAAGCTTCTATTCACGACACTTCTGTACACATCAAAGCTGTGTCTCACGACACCTCTCA